ATAATCCTTGCTCATAGAGATAGAGTAAGAAGAAAACTGACTTTTAGAAGGTATCCATTTTTTAAACAACTAAACTATTCTGATCTACAAAGTTATAAAAGAATCCATAATAAGTTCTATTAGTCATTCATTTATAAATAACAACTGGTTTTCATGGAAAATTTCATATTACCTCCAGCAACTGTAATACCGGATGATGCATTGTAGTTAAACTTTTGTACTCGATAGTTGTAAACATCTGAAACGAATAATGTGCTTGAAAGAACAAATATAGCACGTGGATAATTGAATGTGGTTGCTGATGCGCCAATAGAACCGGTAGTTCCAGCTATCGTCTGACCGACGAATGTGTTTGCTGCAAATCGCTGAATTCTTTGATTATCTGTATCAGCAACATAGATATTTGAATAGATGTCAATTGCAACATCATTGACATATTTAAGCAAAGTTGCATTTGCGCCCTGTACACCTGTCACACCAGCTACAGTTGTACCAGTTGAATTCCAGCTACTACCAGGTGTACATGATGTAACTAAAATAAAAAAGTGACAGTAGAATGAATGCGGCAACAAATTGGGACTTGAACAGTATCAAAATATAGAAGTACGCAAGTCAGCTACATTTGTTCTGAAGCTTTCATTTTTCTGTATCAAAGTTGGAACTTAGTTAGCTTTCTATCACTTTTTACTTTCCTTGCTCCTAAAACCCAAATCAATAGCTTGCTTATCTTGATGTTTCAGTGAATGTTCGCTATTAGAGACATGGATTGTCCATAAATCATTGTGAAACCATAGTCGAAAGAAATTAGCAACGATTAGGAACGAATGATCATCTTCGAATGTTGATATAATTCTGTTGTTGCATCGTTCAATCGTGATATGTTTTATTTAGTTTGTATGTGTACTTGAAGAAGGAAACATCGGATACTTCGACCTTGAAATCTCATGAAGACTCGAAGAATAGATCTGAGAGTAACTAATGGAGATTAAATACTCACATAATACCCTTCTGTATAAGTACAACTTCAAAAATACAATGCACAACACGACATGATTTGAGCTGTTAGAGTTATTCAGTGAAGAGCTGTGTTTCTAACAAGAAGCCACTCATGAAAGCCTCCGTATCTATGTGAAATGGTAGCGATTGATCGATCATTCATTTATCGATCGAATCTAAGCAACAGAGTTTCTTTCATGTATACTATATAAACACGAACAGGCAACACATTTTTCCGTATATGCTTTAAGAAATTTCTTACTTTCATAGTTATTTAGTTATCATAAATCTTTCTTTTCTCTCTACAGCCTATTAGTGAAGTATCGTTGTACATGCACTGTACAACTATCAAAGGTGGCTAAAATACGAACAACGAATATCGAATATCCTCCAACCAGATTACGTTTTGATCAAAAGCATGACCACATTCAGTGATGTCATTCATGAGTAAGATTTCCGTGCTTAACAAGTCTCACGCGGGAAAAACACATTTTCAGAAAGATACCAAATAGTCTCGAAAACATTTTGCCTTTTTTTTCTGAGAGTCTCAGTTACTGTTTCACACACGCGCCAAGTTATCGATGTGTTCTTCAACACTAGATATCACAGTATACATACTCCCACACTTCTTTACTAATAACTGAAATACCTGTAGTTGTTGCTACAGTAGTAGAAATTGTTGTAGCAGCAGTTGTTGTAGCCGCGGTTGTTGCAGCCGCAGTTGTTGTAGCGACGGTTGTTGTAGCCGCAATTATTGTAGCGACGGTTGTTGTAGCCGCAGTTGTTATAGCGGCGGTTGTTGTGGCAGCAGTTGTGGTAGCGGCGGTTGTTGTAGCGATGGTTGTAGCGGCGGTTGTTGTAGCCGCAATTGTTGTAGCGGCGGTTGTTGTAGCAACAGTTGTAGCGACAGTTGTAGCGGCGGTTGTTGTAGCGGCGGTTGTTGTAGCAGCAGTTGTGGTAGCGGCGATTGTTGTGGCGACAGTTGTAGCGGCGGTTGTTGCAGCCGCAGTTGTTGTAGCGGCGGTTGTTGTAGCAGCAGTTGTGGTAGCGGCGATTGTTGTGGCGACGGTTGTAGCGGCGGTTGTTGTAGCCGCAGTTGTTGAAGCGGCTGTTGTTGTAGCCGCAATTATTGTAGCGACGGTTGTTGTAGCCGCAGTTGTTATAGCGGCGGTTGTTGTAGCAGCAGTTGTGGTAGCGACGGTTGTTGTAGCCGCAATTGTTGTAGCGGCGGTTGTTGCAGCAGCGGTTGTTGTAGCGGCAGTTGTTGTAGCGACAGTTGTAGTGGCGGTTATTGTAGCCGCAGTTGTTGTAGCGGCAGTTGTTGTAGCGGCAGTTGTTGTAGCGACGGTTGTTGTACCCGCAATTATTGTAGCGACGGTTGTTGTAGCCGCAATTGTTGTAGCGCCGGTTGTTGTAGCGGCAGTTGTTGTAGCGACAGTTGTAGTGGCGGCTATTGTAGCCGCAGTTGTTGTAGCCGCAATTATTGTAGCGACGGTTGTTGTAGCGGCAGTTGTTGTAGCAGCAGTCGTTGTAGCGGCGGTTATTGTAGCAGCAGTTGTTGTAGCCGCGATTATTGTAGCGGCAGTTGTCGTAGCCGCAGCTGTTGTAGCGGCAGCTGTTGTAGCGGCAGCTGTTGTAGCGGCAGTTGTTGTAGCTACCAAGGCTGCAGAAAAAAGCATAATATGGAGTTAGTTTGTTGATACTGAACTTCCGGAAGTTTTTTTTTGTTCAGCAACAAATTAATTTTAAGACAAGAGAATGTAATAATAAGCAAGAGTATATTCGCCATTATTTTAGACAATTTCCACCCGTCTTGGGTGTGGGTGTGGGTGTTGGTATGGGTGTGGGTTGGGTGGGTGTAGGTCGGTGTGGATGTGGGTGTGGGTGTGGGTGTGGGTGGGGTTGGTGTGGGTGTGGGTATGGGTGTGGGTTGGGTGGGTGTGGGTCGGTGTGGATGTGAGTGTGGGTGTGGGTGCGGGTGGGGTTAGAGAAGAGATCATCACCCACACCCACAACCACATCCAC